GGGAGAGGGAGAGGGAGGGGAGTGGGAGAGGCTATGTCACATTTTTTTTGGCCGGAGTCGAAATCAACATTTTGGATCAATTCTACAGAGGTCGTATGATTTTCAAAAATCATGACAAATTTATGTATTCTTTAAAAAACAAGATTTTATTAAAATATCTAACTATAATAATATATATATATAATAATATTGCATTCTCAACTTTTAAAGAAATCAAATCACAGTTATCATTAGCATCACATCAAATTGTCTTAAGCTTATTATTAATCAACGAATTAATAATGAAAATCGAACAGTTGTTTTTTGAACGCTCACCATGCATTGCAACTTGTATAGTTTCGGTTTAACTACCGAAATTTTCTCTTAATTTCGGCCGAAACCGAAATCAAATCGAAACCCTGATTTTTGACCGAAACCGAAACCGAAATTTCGGTCGGACTCTACCGTACATTATACAGAGTGTATCCAATCATCCGCAATCGAGACACACTACTGCACTATCAGATTAAGCGTTTTGTTCAGATTGTATCGATCCTACCCGGGAAAAAATTATCCACGCATGATTGTACATGCGTATGCAAAATCATACATTAAATAATATGTAATTTTGAATTCTAATGTATGATAGCATATGATCATTAGAGCCCGGATGTTCGGGCTGCGCGCGGAGACCCGTTGCGCGAGTGATTCGGCTGTTTGCTGAAGTGAGGTTGCGACATCATTCAGGGAGACACGGCGGTCACTGATTGGATTCGATCGCTCCGAATAGGATATATATGTATATTGGGCTGGTGCACGGCATATCTACTACTCGTGTAGAAAAGTACTACTGTATTTTGAGGCACTATTACACTACTACACTACAGCAATAATATAATGCGTAATAGTGCAGTAGTGTGTAATAGTGTAATTTTTTACAAGGGTAAGGGTGTAATTCTGCACTGGGTTAGTTTAGCTTATTTTTTTTTAATATCGGTAGTTCCGTAACTGAAAAGAAAGAGTGTTTTGAAACCATTACATTATTATAACCTCTAAATATTATTTAATTATTGTCTGTATACGTGAGACAAGTATTGTTAGTAAAAATAAAGAAAAAGATAGCAAAAATGTAGTAAATATACATTTGTTCTCGGTATTTTTCGACATTTATATTCCTCTAAAAAAGTTTTATATATAATTATATAAATCAAAGAATTGAAAGGAATACGGGCGTTAGGAGTCAGGCGTAGATGACGTCGCGCAAATAATACACTTATGAAACTTAAAACTTCTTTATTCAACAAATGCGCTTACATGTTTCGGCTCATTTTTGGGCCTCCCTCAGAGCAAACTAACACAAACTAACATATATAAAGTAAAAGTAATCCTGTCATGATGAGCTCCCCTACGTCGAGAATTTAAATGCCAGAATTAAACAAAAAGAAAGAAAAGAAAAATGAAAAAGAAGGGAAATATTAAAAATGTCGAATTAAAGAATATACTTTTACATTCTTGAGGCTTTCACGGGTGTTTCCTATATGACAATCTTGTGTTTCGCGGGTTTTCTCCGTGTTCAAATCCATTCTTGGAATGCCAACGTTTCGTGAACCTTGCAGTCCACTTCATCAGGGCGAAGAGCAGCCTGATACTAAGCTGTTCTCCCGGGTCGTTCCCTTTATATTACCCTCACTGGAAAAACTGAATCACACA